CGGCCACGTAGCTCCATCAGCTTGCCGTTGAAAATCTTCTCCGTGACCGTCATGGAGGTGAACTCCTCCTCCAATTCCTCCTGAGCCAGTTCGACATGCTCTGGAGGGGGACCAATGGCCCGGGTCTCGCCATGACCATTGCCCTTCGTGACATAGCGCAGGCGCAGACCGCACCGACTGCACGCTTGCCACATGGCGGTCTTGTTGGACCGCTCCTTGCCCGGCAAATGTTCTCCGTGACATGGCCAGCCCACATGGCGTGGATCGAGGTCTGTCGCCGGGGGGCATGATTTCATCTCTGGTAGATGAAGGGGCTTCACGAAGTCGTTGAAGTCGTTGAGCCAAGATGCTGAGGCGGTCGGACAACAATGCTCCATGGTGCTCTTCTGACTCCATCATGAAAACGCTCAAGTCATCGCAAACAACAGCTGACTGGCAATCTTCATGTGACTGAACGTCGTGGAATGTGAGATGGCTCAGATCATGTACCATGGGTGTAACTGCATGATGTTCTTCAACTGACATCTCAACCGACTCGGCATGCGAAACAGACTCAAGCTCCAAATCATTGATGATGGTTCCCTTGTTGATCAACACATCGAAGCGACAAGCAGCAGGCACAGCAGGATATTCCCTCTTGTCTTCGGGATTCGGTGTGTCTGCCTCATTGGCCTTCTCGACTTCCGCCGTTGGGGAAGGAGGTACATTCGGAGAATGGGACACATTGGAATTGATGTCCATTCGCATCCCAGGCTCATCAGGCGGAAACATCTGATGATGCTCACCAGAAGTTGCAGCTCTATTGGCATGCTCAGTCGTCGCCTGCAGCAAGTTGCGGGTGACAAAGGGTCCCCGATGCCTTTTCGCACCTCTGCTGTTTCCCTTGCCACCTCCACCATCTGGGCCGCCATCGTCGTCGTCGATGTCATCATCATCTCCTCTTGGCCACCGGGTGCTTGGGTAGCCGTTGAACCTCTGCAGCAGGAACTGGATGGGGACAGGTTGCTCCATGAGATCAAGCCACAAGTGTCCTCCTGCCTGCGAACTCGCCAGGGAGGAAGTCATCCACTGTCCTGTCACGTTCCTGTGGGCCATGTAGTCGCCATGGTAGGAGATGATCGCCTTCCGGCTCCTTAGATCTCGGGCACCGAGCAGCAAAGGTGTTCTCTCAGCGCTGCCATCAAGCAAGAAAAAGGTCACCTTCCCGATGGCAGGCGTGTACAGGAAGATCTTGGAAACTGCTCGCTGGTTCTCACCATTCCCGAAGCGGAACCGAGGCCTGTCCTCCAGCTGGATGTGGTAGAGCATCGGGCATGAGTCCAGAACACGAGCCATCGACTCCACGCCCGCCACAGACTCAGTCGCACCAGTATCCAGCACTGCCTTCGCGACTCCTTGGGCATACAGCTCCTCATTCTCAAACAGGCTCAACACGTTGACCTCATGGGTGTAGTCCATGCCATAGCCGTAGTCCATCATGTAGACCTTGCCGCCCTTCTTTCCTTTCTTTCCTTTCCCCTTGGATCGTCCAGATCCCTTGCTGCCGTTGAAGGATGACCCCTTCGAACTCGGCGATGACATAGGTGAAGACTTTCCACCTCGCGACCATCGATCCGGACACTTCTGATATCCGTGGCCGTGCTGGCCACAGATGAAGCAGGGGCCAAACGATGAAGAGCCCTTGCCCTTTCCTCCTGAGGTCTTGCCTTTGCCTTTTCCATTGCCCTTGTGACCCGCAGTGTCGTAGTAGCCCCTTGCGGCTCGCACGCGAGCCACCGCTTGCTTGGCTTCGGCCAAGGTCTTGTTCGCCTCAGTTGCCAAGGCATAGGCCTCTTCTAGCCGCTGCTCCTCCTCCAAGGGTTGCTCAGCTGACTGTCCAGCCAAGTCATTCTCAGGCGTCTCGCCGTAGAGGTCCTCAGTCTGGTAGTCCATGTTCTCATAGTCCTCCCAAGGATCAGCGCCCTGCCAGTCCGACCAGTAGGCCTCCGCAGCTGGCCATTCCTCATCCCACCATTCATCATCCCAGGTGTTCTCCTCATAGGGCTCCTCGAATCAGATGGTCTTCCGAGGTCGGGGATGATCTTCCACTCCATCTGTCTCCGCAAAAAGAGACCTCAGAGCCTGGCGGATGAGGGTGAAGTGGGCGCTGTTCTTGGTGAGGGTCAGCACATGTTGGCGTTCAGCCGCCGTGAGCTTGGAGGCTTTCAAAAGCCTGTAGCCGCGGAGCTCATTCTCGAAGAAGCCGGTGTTGTCCATGCCTGAAGTCGTTGGGGCCTCTTCGAATGTCGGCTCCGTTGACTCTTCTTCAACCATGCGGCCGCCCTTGCCACCTGCCACGTTCGGAGACCGTGTAGGTGACGCTGCAGGGTCATGCTCACTAGCGCCAACTGCCATCGACCTCATCTCGGCCTTCCGCCTCTCATGCCTCGCTCGCTTCAAGGCCTGCTGGAGCTCCAGGAAGAGTTCTTCTTCACGAACTAGAAGTTGTGGAATGGACTCGGATGAAGTGCGCCTCATCCCAGTCCATCGCTCCAGCCTGGCGAAGCTGTCAGGCACCGGCAGCTTCTGCAGAGGGCTTTCCCTAAGGACCGTCAGGAGTTTCTGAAGGCCTGACTCCGTCGCGAAGTCCTTGGGATCTAGGTGCTTGACCACGCTCTTCGCAGCGCCGGCCAACCTCTGCCAGATTCGCGGGGCCGCCAGCTTCTTCTCGTTGTCCTTGAGCGAGCATTCATACCACCTGCAGCTGGTGGCGAAGTTCTCAAAGCTGGATGGGTCCCCGTCCCACGCGGGAACATCCTCCAGAGGCATCGCCGCCACCTGGTCCGTCAGGATCTCCAGGATGTAGCTCCGCCTACCATGCAATGCGCTCACCGCAGCGCAACCCGTGGCCCACCACCGGACCAAAAAGGACACAGGCGCCCTGTTTCACCTAAAAGGCTCGAGCCCCGCCCTTGCGGAGTGTGCATGTCAAGTGCGCAACCGCCAAGCTTGCAAGAAGGAAGGAAGGAAGGAAGGAAGGAAGGATGGATGGATGGATGGATGGAAGGAAGGATGGAGACAGAGACAGACAGAGACAGAGATAGATATATACCCAGATTAGTTTTTCAGTTTCTTTCATTTACCAGCTGCCTGGTAACAATGGGGCATCAGAGCGTCTTCGCAGCTCTGGCTTTCTCAAGCTAGCACAGGAATGAAAATATTAGCGAAATCACTGCTCGATCAAAAGCTGCTGTAGCAATCAAGCAGGAAATTGCTATGTATGACATGTGGATCTTCGTCCACATCCACATTCAAACTCAAAGGGTCTTGGGGAGATTCAACCTTCCCTCCACACACAATTCCCTCTCAGTCCGCTGCCAGCGCACGCACTGCGTGCGCACCAGCCCCAGACAGCTGCCAACACTCACAGCCCGCCACCGCACGTCAGCGCACACAGGCAGAGAGCGTGGAGTGGAAGAGTGGAGCAGAGTGGAGGGAGGGGAGTCAATGGAGTTGAGCGGAGCGGAGTGGAGCGGAGCGGTGAGGTGAGGTGCGGTGAGGTGCGTGGGTGGGCGAGAGCGAGAGCGAGAGCGAGAGCGAGAGCGAGAGCGAGAGCGAGAGCGAGAGCGAGAGCGAGAGCGAGAGCGAGAGCGAGAGCGAGAGCGAGAGCGAGAGCGAGGGAGGGAGGGAGGGAGGGAGGGACGAATATTGTACGCAGTAGACACGGTGCAACAGTTTAAGGGATTGGAAAATCAACCATGCCTGACCAATCAATCAATCAATCAATCAATCCATCGATCGATCGATCAAAGGCAAAACAGAGTTTCTGACCAATTTCCACGCCCACCTGGACACCTCTCTACCCTTGCCAGACTCACCAGCCGATCGCAAGAAAATTGACATCATGGTTTGATCTTCCAGATTGAAGAAAAAGTCCAAAGAAGAAGAAGTCTAAATTACGTTAACCTTCAAGTCCACAGATGTTGTTATGTCAACTGAGTTGATTGGCAAACAGCTAGACCACCCCAATCCCACTTCAACTGCCTGTGGACTTTCCCACTTTTGAGGAACTCAGATTTTCCACATTGATGCTCTTCAGCCCTCTTCAGGGTCACTGAAGCCTTCACTTTGGGGCACTTGGCACTTGGCAGGTGCCCCAGTTCGTTCGGTGCAACGAGAGATCGCCCCGGATGCGCAACTCCCTGCGGTGACAAGGCACAGCAAGAAGATGGGCGGATCCTCCGACAAAAGCTCCGCATGTGGCCTGTGAAGAGGAACGAGCTCCGACCCGTCTTCCCCATGGGTCGGAACAGCACAAGTCTGGGATGGCCAAGATTAATTGATCTACACCCCATGGAACTAACATGAAAGAGGAGAATGGCCCCGTAAACGGAAGACCATGAAATCCTCTACAAACAGGGGGGGGTGTCCACTTCCATGTGAGTTCCAGGTAAAGTAATTGTGGCAAGGACACCCTCTAGAGAACCACGCAGTGATTCAAGCCCTGGATCGACATGGCCATCACCGAATGTCTCCCGGACGCAGCGTGCTCGCCACGGGCGGCCCCCCGGGCCAGCTTGGAAGCGGCAACTCCCCAGAGGGGCCAAAGAGCCTGCCAGAGCGAGCTCAGTGAGGTGAGAGGAGGTGAGAGGAGGTGAGAAGGAAACGAACGCACAGCTGTTGGCCTTGTTGGCCTTGTTGGCCTTGTGCCTGCCAAAAGCATGCCATGTTACGTGCCTCATCTATTCAGTCTTGGGGCTGGGAATGGGGCAGAACGAAAACCCTCGAAAAGGATTCTTCCGAGACCGAGGAGAACGTCAGGCCGAACGAGACCGTAAGGGTTTTAAGAGCGGCAGGTGGCAGAACGTATTTTCTCCGATGGGCACCATCGGGTCTGCTAGCAGTTCCAAACTCAAAATCTGACAGTTGGTCTGCCAGCTCCTGGTTCCTGGAACGTGCCTGTGAAATGATGAAGGTGTTCGTAACTTCATGTAAGTCACGGCAAAAGACCTCAAAACTCCTCACATCTCTTCGAAAGTGTAGGTCTGTGTCTCCACCATGGAGATGCCCTCAATGGCCTTGAGCTTCTCAAGAAAGGCTTCCTCTGGTGCGAACTTGGCCTTCTCCCAATCTCCGAACTTGTCTGCCGCAAGCTTCACCACCACCTTGAAGTCAAGGCATCCACCACAGACCACACGCTGTACGCTCTTCACCCCAGCCACCGCCTTCACGTCAGCCATGACAGATGTCAAGAGTTCCTGTGCTGCATCCAAGGAGGCCTTGTCCTTGTCAGCAGACCACTTGCAACGCCACTCACGCGCAATGTTGTCGAACTGCACCGACTTGGTGATCTCTGGCATGGTACAAAATCAAGGCTAGCTGTAGGCTCAAAAGCGTTCAGGCTTGTCTCAAAATGGCTATGGAGGTGAGCAACACTCTCTACAAAGCAAGAAGAACTTCAAAAAAGCAAAAATAGAAAACTCAAAACAAACGGAAATCCAAATCGCAAAGTTCTTACAAATTCTCCGCTCAAAAACGGGACGATCATATTCTACCCACACTTCCACAAGATTGCACAAACTAATTCACAAATCGTGAAAAGAAGACACGAATGGGTTCTTGCAATCTTTTCTCTGGGTTCGAAAGTCCCCATCCGAGCCTCGGGAGGGCTGAGGAAACCGTGAAAATGGCCCAGAAGCACGTGACAGGCCTGTCGGAGCCGGCGCGCGCAAGTCGAGCCACGCTCCGTTCGGCAGGGCAGAACTTGGTCGGTGACTTCATTCAGCATATTCTGCTATGGGGCTGTTGGCCTCATCCTCCTCCTTGGGATGAGGCGAACAGTCCCAGTCCCACTGGATTGAAGCTCACCCGCAATCGCAGACCTTTTGAGAACTAGCCAAAGGTCCCTTACCCTTGAAACAGGTTCAGTCTCGTCCCACGTCCTCCCTGGTGTTCTTAAGGACCCAGGTATGATTTGCCCGATGGTCTCACACTTGTTCTTCTTCCAGTCGCAAAGAAAGCGTTGGCCATTACAGGAAGTCCCTGAGACTCATCTACTCGCATCATGGACCATGGCCAATCATCTCCTTGCTTCCTGATGGTCGACTTAGTTGGACCATGGACCTGCTAAATTAGGTGACCTGGCTCACCAAGACGGCCATCTTGACACTGCCCTTCAATTGCCATGCTTCAAAAGCCAGGGTCGGCCTTCAAACTCGGGCGGCACCCCAAAAAACACGCTATGTTGATGTGTTTAGAGCGGAATCATAGCTACACTCCGTGGTTGTGGGGTCCACTCAGAGCCCTCCTTCGACGAGCGCACATCTCCGTTTGACTTCCAGGTGGTGGCGTGTGCCCGAACGACTGTGGATGAGGTTTCAAGTGGGTGATGCCAGAATTCATTGACCAAACATTGGGAGAAATCCACATGGGTTGTTCGGATGAAGCTCTGCATGGTTTCGTCGATGTTTGAAGCTTCGCATCTGCAGAAGCCTCCAAAAGGTCATGGCCGTCCAACGCTCCCCTTGACGCTCATTTTGACATGAGCTGTAAACAGAGTGGCATGGGTCAAAGCGATCGAGTGGCGAACTCAGCTATACTGCGGGACTTTATTTTTTTCAAGTTTGATCAATTGAAGCAACGTGCAACAGCTACAAACTTCAAGATTGCCTCACAACTTCTGCGAAATAGGATGGACCTGGTTGGAGGTTCAAGCGGACTGTGCGAGTGTGGAAACTGTACAAGTGTGCTTGCGTTTGTAAGTGTTCTGTTTCTGGTGCATTTGGAGCGCTGTTGCTGTCTATCTCTGCTTCAGACGCTCTCATGTCCAAATCCAAGTGTGTATCGAATCAAGTCAAAGCTTGTTGTTGTGTACAGCAGTCAAACCATCCTTGAGCATCAAATCGTCCCTTGTGGTCACAGGGCACACCAACCTTTCTCGTAGCTAGAGAATGATAAGACTGCTCTTCTTTCATCAGTTGACTCCTTGACTCCTTGACCTTCCATTTTTCCATGCAACGCCAACCATCTGGTCGTGGAGACCTAGATGCCAGCCCGATCTAAGAGATCCGTGGGGCGAATCCACGTCTTGGACGAGGTCCGAATCCACGAATCACATTCCGTGCATCTTACACGACATGGGGATGGGGCTCCGAGAGGGTCGAATCCTACCGCAGGGGGCTGGTCATGTGGCAAGAAAAGGCTCAAACGAGTCTTGAGCAGGCACAAAGCTCTTGGGATGGATTCTCTAGAATCTCCGACTTCTCCGCCGGTTTTTCTATAACCGTCTTCTTGGAGCCCGAGAGTGAAATCCCCTCTTTGCACAACAGGGCAGTGCTGACCTTGAAAACAGCAGTACCGGAAGATCTTTGAACCGAGCTGCTTAGCTTCGCAGCTCGAGTTCGTGCACATAAGTCCACTCACTAACTGACCAAAGAAGAGATCCAAAAAACCTGTTGGTTCTAGTCCTCAATAATCAGCCTCATACACGTGCCAGGGGACACTATCTGGTTTGTAGCTTGTTGGTCGTCTCTCAGAAACGTAATGCCTTACGCACAGGCAGTTTCACCCTCTGCTTGTCCCAAGATTGGTTTCATGATGTGTACATATGCGCCCCAAGTTAATCCGCACAGAAACCTTAGGAGAGGAAAACGATGGAAAGTGGTTCTCGTTCTCCATTCTGTTTTCAGGTTGTGTTGGATTGGGGGCTAGGTGTCACTTCAGGTCCTGCACTGCTGGGCTGCCGCCTCATTCCAGCATCTCCTGTGCATGCACCTGGCCCAATTCGAGAACTCGCGGGTGGCGGCTTCTTCTGACAAAGAAAGGTACTGTACATGCTTGTATACAGTACTCAGTACATGTCAAGAACGAGGTCTGCGGGGCATTGAAGCACAATGCCAAGATCTCCAACTCATAGCATTAATTGAAAAAAAAGGCAATGGACCACCCGCAAAAACAACAAAACTGAACCAAAACCGATATCTTCTGGCTAGATCATTGTTCTTCTCTCCCCAACGTTCACGCCTGCATCCGCCAGCCAGCCTGCCGCGGCCTCTGGGGCCTTGGATCGAGCGGAGCCGCTTTCGGGTGGAAGTGAAATTGGTTCGAAAGAAATGGGATGAAATAGATGAAATACTAGGAATGGCCTCCAACCTATGGCCTCCCACCCAAAAACGGAAACGATGGCCTCCAACCTAGTAGCGATGGCCTCCAACCTACAATAGGAATGGCCTCCAACCTGATAGCGATGGCCTCCAACCTTATAGCAATGGCCTCTAACCTAATAGATTGGGGTGAAATACATATATATATATAGAGAGAGAGATTTTGAATTATTGCGCAAGGTATGGATTCATTGGTAATTGGAAACTGTACATGTACATTCTAAGGAGTGGGAAATCTTCAAAGAGTTCAACAGCATTATGAATCCTCTGGCGAGGCTAAACTGGTTGCTTCCATTGCAGCAAGCCAAGGACCAGCCCAGCCCTGCATCCAGGGAAACACATCATATTATTTTAGTCCGCTCGTCGTAGGAAATTGAGCCGTGGTGACGGAACATACCGTATCCCTCTTGCATAAAATGATGTGATACCAATAAGACTCACAAAGAAATCCATGGTTGTCATATGTGATACCAATGCACTCTGAATGAAGCCATTTGAGCATGTCCGACGTTGCAGTCGTGACACGGGTACAAACTGGTGCACCCTATTCGCGAGCCATGCATGCACACTGCTATGGGGTCTTGTGATGCACACAAATATTCACAACAGGTCCTGTTGGCGGCCCAAGCAAAAACGACTGACTCCATGTTCAACCAACGGCGAGAACGTTTTGGATGTTCAAAGGTAAAGATGTTTTCGTCCACGTTTTCCAGTTGGTTTCGGCCCGGCATATGCCTGGGTTCAACCGTTCTTTCAGTTCTTATTTTCACGTTGGATTCCTGAACCCCTCGCTTTCATATGCGTTCCCCATGGATTGAGTTCTGCTGATTCTACTGGATCACCTAAGATTCTGAAACACATTCAGAATGACCAAGGTTACCTGGATCCCAAAAAGAAGGGGATCTCAGCAACTGCAAACTGACCACCAAAGACACCCAAAATCAGATCATTCCACCGGTCTGCGGGACATCTGCGCAACCTCACGGGTCGCCATCACTTTGCCCAACCTCACGAGCTGGATTGCTCCAATGAGGAGAATCAGCTGCCAGGGACGCATGCAGCACGGACGCCCCACGCCGGCCAAGGGGCTGCTTGGTGCTTCCAAAGCCACCGAGCTCCAGGTCACACCTGGCAACCTGCGTTCTACGCCAAAAGCGAGGTCGCGCCGGGAGATGAACAGCCCCCCATCCGTGTGGAAGTTGGAACTCTCCGGCGGGGTAGCCCATAGGGTAGCCAAACCCCCCCAAGCTCCCACAACGATGCCCCAGCGAGACCTGAGAGCTACTGCTTGGCATGCCAAGGTGATGTGAAGCTGACGCCCTCGCGCAAAAGCATTCTTAGATCATTCTGAAGCTCCAGGGGGGAGCTAAGACTCTCGTCCCATCCCAAGCACCCAAGGTGCTTCCCGAAAAGAGGTCGGCGAGTCTATCCAACATCAGTCATGCTGACCTATCCTTCACATGGACGAGTCATTGTAAAACACTGCAAGGCCCCTGTAGATCGCTTTCTGGGGGTATAGATGAGATTTGAGGTGCACAGCATCTGGTTCACTTCTCAGTGGACAATTGAGCCAAGAATCTACGGTAATCTGACACACAAGGAAAGCTCCTTCCAGAAGCAATATGACGTGGGTCATCTGCTGATACGTTCCCTTTGGGTTTGCAGGAAGTGTGGTCTTCCTCCTGCAAATCCATTCATCTCATCCATAGTCAGTTCAATCACTGGATGACGGCATTCTTTTTTTGGAATCCAAGCTTGCGTCTTGATGTCCATCGCAAGAGATGTGTCTCTTAAGTTCTATTTCTTTAGTTCTCTTAGTTGGCTGACCTGTAGACCTTCTTCCTTTCTGTGTCCTTTGTGGGCCGTTCCTGAGGTCACCCTCCGAACCTTTCCTCCTCGACCCAAGAGTGAGCAGCGGAGCATCTCAGCAAAGCCCGGCCTCGCCCTTGCGGCGCTTGGGCTTCCGCCGCTTCTGCCGGCGGCTGGCGTGGAAGGAGCTGGTGCAGTAGTGCAAGGTGTTGCCAGAGTAAGCTGCAGCCTCAGAATGTGCACAACACAAAATCTGGAAGTTCGGTGCGATTGATGAAGAGGCGGACGTAGCTGCTCGGAGGTTGGGGCAGTCCAAGACTGGTTGAGCTCATCAGATGGTGGTGGTTTCAAGATGAGGCAGCCTGATTGCGATTCCAAAAGTGCCTTGAGCCACGGAGGAGCTTGGAAGGTGCAGAAGGCTATCGTGTCTTATCCATGGGTTCCTCGAACAAAGCAGATTAAAAGGAGAAGAATCAACTGACCTTCATCTTCAAGAATCAATAAAGACTTCGTTGCTCACAACGACTTGCAGCACTTCTTCCAAACGAGCGAAACCGCCGCTGCTGCCCAGGTCACTGAAGCTCCGGGGATCGGCCTCGGATTCGATGGAAAGCACATCACCAGCCGAGGAGCCAAGCAAAACGACTGGTAAATCATGGTAAAGCAGTGTAAATCGGATTCTGATCAATTCCTGAGGTGAAAGCCGGTGAAATTTAAAGAAAATCTGTCCAGCGAGGCTAGGGCCAACAACGCACAGTTCGAAACATGTTCCAGCACATCTAGCAGAATCTAGCAGAGCTTGGAGTGATCAGACTATTGTGTTGCCGATGCAGTCGGAGCGGCAAACATCCACAAGTGACATGAAAGTTCGCTGGTCCCGCGAGGGAACCGAAAGGGCCAGTTGCTTCATCCACCAGGATCGGAAAGGGCCAGTTGCTTCTAAGTATGGCTGCATCCTAGGCCTTGGTGATTAGAGGCCCTTCCACCTCGTTTTATGGAGTCAACCCCATGGTTCACTTTCACCAGGTCCTGTAAAGCAAAGAGGGACCTTCCAAATATGAAGATGCATTGGAGCGCTCTGTCTGTCTTATGGTGATCTTAGCCCACCCCTAAAGATCCCTAGAACAGCTCAAAAAACACACACTTCCCACTGGGCCCTCTCTTGAGAGCATGCAGCAAAGGACCTCCTTCTAGGCTGCCCCGCTCTACAATTGGCATGAAGAGGTTCTGCCGCTGGTGTTGAGCAAGCCGAGCATAAGAGGAGAGATTGCCTCCAGAGGCAGTTGCATCCAAGAGTTTAGGCAGGCTTCAAGGACATCAGTCAACACTTCTCATGGCAAGCCGCCAACATGCTGTGGGACAAGACGCTTCATTTCAGTTGTGGACTTCTTTGGAAAGAACCAATCATGCACTGATCAAAGCCACGTAAAGCCCTTATGAGTAACTACTATAATCCATCACCCAACTTCTCCTTAGGTGTTCACGCAGTGTCAAAGGTGCAATGGTGACAAGTAAGTACGCTTGTTTCTACTGTAATCTAACATCAATACGCACTCGTAGCACTTTCATGAGGCCACCACAGGAACTCGCCCAGCTGCAGTGCACCAGTGCCAGACCATCGGCATCTCCCGGGCCTAGCTGGAACCCTGGGTGGATGTCGTTCTCGGTGAAGTCCGCCACATCCTCAGCGGTGAGAGCGGAACAGCGGTGAGCCCCACCCGTGAGGGAGGTCTTAGGGCTATCATCTTCGAAAAGCTCAAAGAATCTACCAAAAGAAGGTGAGCAAGCAGAGCACCTACTGTGTCTGAGCAAGCTCGCTTTGAACCACACATTGATATGTGGACAACACGGACACTGGCGTCTCTCAGGATAGCTTTCAGCTCAGTCTCCTTGTCCATGGCATCCCAAGTCTGATACGCCTGGCCAAACAGGTCAGTCAGTACGGCTTTGAAGAATCGGCCGGGCCACGAGTTGTGTTCCTATCCCCCCACGCTGTGAACAGCGTGGCGGACGCGTGGCCTTCAGACCCTCCTTCTCATCCTCCAGAATCAAGCCTGGCCTCGGCGGGAAGGGCCAAGCCCTTTCAGAACGAATTAGCCCAATGGCCCAAAGAAGGCGCTGTCCATCATCCTAAACTTTGCGCAGTTCGGCTTCCGGGATCGACGAACCTATAAGGGACAGCGCAGTTAGGGCTCCGCGGAGCTGAAGCTGGGGTTCCCTGCACCGTTGGCGTCCGCACCTGAAGGTCCGGGTTAGGAACCGGAAGGGAAGTGGTCCCGGTCCGCATGGAAACGATGTCCAAGACATGTTGGGGTCTTTACTTGTCTTATGTACTTGGTCACTGCATACTATGGCCCTTGGTCAATCTGTCGATCATCTGTTAAGATGGTGAAGCTTGAAGGACAAATAGACCGACCAGTCATCAGTCCGTGTGGAGTGGCCTGCTTATGCTTCAACTTGAGGCCAGGGGGAGGAGGTCGAAAGCTAGCCGAATCGCACCGGATGTACTAATCACATAGTCGGCAAAGCATGTAGTGAGTACATGTTCTGGGAGGAAGGTTGCTATGTACATACTTTGCGCTAAAGAATGTAAATGTGACATCGCTGACTGGGACTGGGAAGGGTACATTGGAACAACCCGGGTGCACTCGTTGGCAGGCACGAAGATGCGTGATCGGCAAATCTGGGGGGTAAATTTACCCTCCGCTTTTGTATGCCTTGAGGGGTAAGCATTTCTGACATCATACGGACTGTACATACACTAGGGCGGGCGTCCGTAGTGTAGGAGAAGCACGGGTAAAAGGTATATGGAATAGAGTGTCTTGAGGAAATAGCCGGCTTATGGTTATTGCAAATCTGGGGGGTAAATTTACCACCCGCTTGTGTATGCCTTGTGCCGGAAAGAGGAGTAAGCATTTCTGGCATCACAAGGACTGTGCAAACACTAGGGCGTCCGTAGTGTAGGATAAGCACTGGTAAAAGGTATAAGGAGCAGAGTGTCTTGAGGAAATAGCCGGCTTATGGTTATGGCAAATCTGGGGGGTAAATTTACCCCCCGCTTATGTATGCCTTGAGCCGGAACGAGGGGTAAGCATCACAAGGACTGTGCATACACTAGGGCGTCCGTAGTGTAGGGTAAGCATTGGTAAAAAGGATGTAAAAGGTATCAGGAATAGAGTGTCTTGAGGAAATAGCCTGTGTATGGTTATAGCAAGCCTTGGGAGTAAATTTACCACCCGCTTATGCATGCACTAGGTTAGAAATAGGGTAAACAACTTGTAAGGGTGAAGTACAAGTCCTATGCAGCAAGCAGCAGCCAGCAGCAGAAGCAGCCGCCTGCAGCCAGCAGCCAGCAGCAACCGCCAAGCAGCCAGCCAGCAGCACCACGCAGCAGCAGCGCAGCACCAAGCCGCAGCAGCAGCAGCAGCAGCAGCACCACCGCCAGCAAGCAGCAAGCGGCATCGTCAGCAACAGCAGCAGCGGCACCAAGCCGCAACAAGTAGCAAAGCATGAACTACCTCAAATGATCTCAAATATACACGCAACTCATTATCATTATACCTATCAGTTTGTTAACTTCTGCATTGAATGAGCCACTCGAACCAGCAAAACGACGCCAACCCTGGACGGAGGCTGAAGGAACGACGTAGCATGGAGGTGAAATGGAGCGTGCTCACCGTAGGACATGCCTTGACCAAGGATTGTAGATGCAAACAATTGCACAAACATATGCACACCTTGCCGCTGTCTGAACACCAGCAAAGCTATCACGCAATTCATTCAGTGGAATGGTGGTATGCACCACAACAATAAGCGAAGCGGCGCAGCTGTGAGTTGAACCGCGGGGGGGGGGCGGGGGGGGGTTAGCTTGATATATCAATCTTTAAGGCACGCAGCCCCTCCCACCACAACATTGCTAAAGCAAAGAAGAACTCAGCTAGCATGCTAGCTTTCGTGATTTCGACAAATGTCCATCTGCATATCGCACAACAAGAGGACACACCCCAATTGCCCGAAGCATGGCCATGTGATCTTTAATCGCATCATGTATATACCATTCCGATGATCTTCCAGTGATTCTTACACTTCCACCCTCCATCTCAATCCCAAGAGGCCCAGGGGACCGGTGACCGCCCTCCACCAGCCTCGGCGTCCCTCTTGGGCGATCTCATCGAAGCCCTCATCGATGCCCTCATCGATGCCCTCATCGACATCATCGACGACCGGCCGCCCTCCGGCGTGGTGGGCTGCAAGGGCTCCGGCACCTGGCCAAAGCACCGAGCCAGTCGGCGGAGAACTGAGGAAAAAGGATCCGGGGGACATGGAAGTTGAAGCAAAAAATATGATTCCGGGATCGGCAGAGGTCGGATTCACATGGACTAACTTCAACTTCCCCAGTGAGAAGCTCTGAGAACTGTGTGAAACCCTCCGTTTCCTCCGGAAACCCCTTTGGAACCACCCACCCTTTGCCTTCCGGATCGGAACGAGACCCTTTGGAGCTGCTGGGGCTCGGCTCGATCGCCCAAAGCTGTGTTCAGTGGATGTTTGAAACTGCACAGACGGCCAGCACTCTCCTCTCTTCGAACAACCATCCAACCATCCGGCGAACTGGTGGTCCCCGATTCACCCGACCCACCAGCCAGACCCAGGCGCTCGCTTTTTGCGCGAAGTTCCCGCCTGGCTGCTCCTCGTTGCTCGTATCTTCCGCCCTTCCTCCTCTACCTGAAGTTTCTCAGGGCTTCGTGGAGAACACATTTCAGGTCTTTGTTGGACAAGGTCTGGGTTGAGCCCTCAAGAAGGGCAGTGAAAGCTCCAGGTGTGCCGACGCAGTTCCACCACAGCATCATCACTAGCAGTTCAAAGCTGATTGGCATTTGACGGCCTGACAAGAAGCCGTTGGGTGATTGACATGCTCGAAGTCCTGGCCTGGCTTCCTCTCATGGAGGCCATGGATGTCCTTGCTTTCTCAGCTTCGACCACCTTTCCCGGCGCCGTCTTTCAGGATCCAACCTCCTCCCCATATTCCAAACCCACGTGAACAAATGCACTTCAGGGTTTGGGGATGGCATGATGCAAAAGGGCCTGCCATTCTCACCTACTCTCACTACATTGTGAGATCCGTTCACCTGGTGCTTCCCTGCACATGGCCTTGATTTCCGAAACCACCTGTGGGACCACCGAGTGGATCTGTCAAGGACTTGGCCTTCCGTCCAGCACCTGAAGGGCCCGCACCCCCTAAGCCCTGCCTCCTCAGTGTTTTGACCTCGGACCGTGCAAGAACATCGCTCGGGTTCAGTGCACGGCGTAGGGGGGATGTGCCCAAAGGCCTATGTGATTGTAGTCAACTTTGCAGAATGTCATATATCATATAGCCGTAAATAGGCATCTTTTGTCAACTTCAGCAACCCAGGAAGCTCCAAACTATCTTGCACGGTCTCAGAGTGGCTCTTGTTCTCAAACACCAAAAAATAAGAAAACGACCTAAAGAGCGGCCGTGGATGATTTTGAACGACCAAAGACACACCGCTCCCCTCGGCTCACCTCCGCGGCTCCCGGCCATGGGGCGTCTCCGCGGGCGTGTCCGCGGGCGTGTCACTCACCGGGCGTCCTGATGTCGGACATCGGCAGGCGGAATGGACCTGTAGGCGACCATAGAGAGACCCACGGCGGAGAGTGGAGTATATATCTGGACCCCCAAGTGATGACAGGAAAAAATCCAGATGAATCTGGACAAAATGTTCTGCGATGTGGAGTAACTGCCTTCTGCAGGAAGCGTTATGGGACAATATATAGGCAGAGGCAGCAAAGCTCCCCTGAGGTCCCAAAGAGCACCCAAAGCCCGGCGCAAACATGGTTCATTTGCTGTTACATGAAGCAAATGGAAAACTGCATGTGTCACATAACCCATCATAATCATGGTTACAGAAAAATTGAAGCCCAGAAACAAAAGGGCTCATCCTTGAAATCGTGAGTCCGCAGAACAAAGGACCTCACTTTCACAAGACAGGCTTCACCAACATTTCAACAAAAAGACCATCTGGGATCATCCGGATACAAGTCCTTTTGCTTTTAGAGCCTCAAATCCCTGATCGCTCTGTTTGGGGTCAAACAAGCGGAAAGATCGACGGGCATCAAGATTCACCAAGTCTCTTCGGCATCGGCAGGCTTTCACAAACTTACGAAGCTGCTCCAGATTCTGTGTCAACTTCTCCAGCTGGGGAGACATCCTCAGCCGGAGCAAAGACCGATGATCGCAGCCAACCGAAGCCGAGAGCTGCTGGACCTTCGGATGCAACCAGCTGAAAGCTGCGGGGTGGAAGCACCGCAACGAGAGACAGGTCCTTTTCACCTGAAGCGAGATGTCTTTCTTCACCTGGGTCCTTATCCCAGAAAACACTTCTGTAATGATGCAGAGCATCTACTGTAGTGCTGTGGGCTGGTCCAATAGGAGCCTTGCATCTCTTGTGGTGGGATTTCTCATCATCTTTGACACCGGTTTTGAGGCCAACGCCGCCCTGGCCCCCAAAGGAAACAGCTGTCAGAAAACACTTCTCATGGGGTCAGGCTGGTAGCTCACTGATATCCCGGTCCCCACAAAAAGATCACCAAGGCTGCATCTGCTTCAAGAGTCCGTCGTTGGGTTACGATTGATGGTCGAGGTATTGATATTGTTGACAACTGTTCCCTGTGTAATCCACAAGTCTGCTCAGGTCAATACACATCGTCCTGATTGTCAGTTTGTGGAAGCCACAGAGGCGTTGTTTGTTTGTTTTTGCGCACTTTACGATGTTCTTGGCTTGGAGATGCTCGGAGAGGTTCTTGCCATGTCTGCTACTCAGTGCGTATATATATAATATATATATATACTTATGTGTTTTTATGGGTCGGTGTGTGTTCACGCCAGGCACTTGTTACAGAAAAGAATAGCCATATAAATAAATAAGGTCGGTCGGTCTACCGCATCGCTCCGTCGCCTTCCAGCCTTTGCTGTGGAGGAGAATCGACGAGGCGCATCTTTTTGGAAAGGACCCGTGCGTCTCGAATGGATCCACTCCCTGAAATAGAATGCTGAACGGCATGGCCCTGAAGACTCAGATGACGACCTCCGAAAACCAAACAGGCTCGGAGACCATGACCATCCACTTATATGTTATAAGACGGGACCTTATAAAATGGAGATGCAGATGAGACAGGACCTTATGGACAAATAAATTCATGCACGTCAGCTTTAGCAAATGAGACAGGGTGTTACGGCCCTTCATGCGACGGTGTGTCCAGGCATGTCCAGGCCTAAACAATAGTCCGAAAAGCACATGAGTCAGGAGCTTGTGGGCATGGGCAAACTCGCTGCAACAAACAATATAAAATCAGGTCTGTTTGCTTTGGCTTTGCTGCTGAGATAGGACTATATGGTCCCCCAATTCAGATTGCACACACGAGATAGGAAAACAAAAATCACATTGCCCAAATATGCACAGAGCACATGAGATAGGAAAATAACATATCAAGATCGTCCGACTACTCCCATCTCTCTTGGAGTCAGTATAATGGCTCGGAGAGGACCATGCCGTTCAACAAAATAGCCTAACGAAGCTTGACGACAATCTGTCCAAAAGCCCCCATGATCACGGTGATCCAAACCCAAACAAAGAAGTTGGCCACTGTACCCTTGACATCCCTTGACACTTCTCGCTGCACTCCAAATACACCATCACACACCATCCCTCCCTCATCTAAAAGTGTCTCTTGCAGCTTCCGCAAACAACCTGCCACGTGATCAATGATGGTAGGCGAACTCGGCAGTATGCTGCAACAAAAGAATCCCTACAGGTCAACAAACTCATTTTACTGGAGTTGTTCATGCAAAAAGACTACTCAATCAAAGGACCAGATTTTACTGGGTCTTGGACTGGTGACTGGTAGGGATTCATTTTCCAGAGCCTTGCGTAGCTTCCCGAGGGTCAATTCCCACGTCTTGGCTTGGGGGTTGGATGAGAACCGTGGCTGGAGCGCGGGTGAGGGTAAACTAAACCATCACACGAAGCAAAAGATGTGTTTCTCTGCAGGCGAGCCCCGGCAGTTGAACAAGACTTTTTCAGGTACAAAACAAGGTTTGAAACCCATCACATGGATCCTTCGTGTGGATTGTGGGATTGGCCGCCATCGCGGAATCGCAAGATTCATCTTCCATTCACTCCAGTCAGTGGAGGTGTTCGGTGCTCTTTATCTTGGGCTCTGGTGCTCACTGCCGCTGCTTCTCCCCACTGCCACTGCCTGCTTTCTTCTTGCGGTCATACTCCTCCTGAGCGTTTCCAACGATCAGAACGCTGGTCCGAACGTCCCGAGGGCGTCCCTGTCGAGTCTCCCGGTGGCGGATGGTGGCGGATGGGGGCGCCCCGTTCAGCCCTTCGGAACCCGCGCCGCCAGGTGCAAGTCGGATGTTGGGTGCAAGCAGAACGCACCAAACGTCTGCGCGTCATGCTTATATCGTGTCGTCGGACACCCGACTGTTCGCCAGTTTTGTTCGGTCCAATTCGTTCAAGTCCAATCTCAGCACCAAAGGAATGCGAGGCTCCACTGCCCAACAAATCTATCCAACAATCTTCCAAGTGAAAAGAGTCGAGATCAGAACCAATGCCAAAATCCTCCCCAAACCTAAGTCCCCTACCGAGCAAACTGAATTGACTTCCACATCAAACCTATCCGCCCAAAACAAAAAGAGTGACCCTCCCTAGACCCACCGCGCAATTGAAACAAGCAAGAAGAAGAAATCAACATACAGTAAACGAACAAACATGGAGGCCATCGCTAGTAGGTTGGAGGACATCGCTAGTAGGTTAGGCCCATTAGGCTATTATTGCTCTCCAAAAATGGGGCTCCTGCAGCGCTTCTTGCACAGCCTGTCCCCAGTCGGAGTTCGGGTCGTCTGGATCATACAGCTCGGCCTCGGCCTCCTGCAGAGTGACATGCCAAAACGTGCCCGCACAATTGCCGTGGCGAATGTTCGACGGAAAGCTGGGGGGTGACTTGACCGGCAGGTTTTTCAGATGCATGATTTGGGTATATCCCATTGCCACTAACAGTTACAGGTAATGGGACAGACCCCATCGTTCTTCCTCCTGTCATGCTGAATTTGGCAGCCGCAGTGGCGCCTGGTCAGTGATTTTGACATCCCCATCTATGTCACTCACCGTGAATTCCACATATGCTGCCAGAATCCTCTTATTAGTATTATTACTATGTCGCTTCCCAAGAGTGCTAGCGTAGCCTCCCACAAGAAATGCCCTGAAACCAAATTGCCTGCAATGGGTTACAGCTGAAACGGTCGTTGAGAATACCTCCAACAGCCCTGACCATTGAACACGCTACTCAACAGTGCTGTCCAAAAGAACTTTCCAGAAGAATGCTCTTTCCAAAAGAGTATCTGAGTATCTCTTATCGTTGTCGTTTCCAGCGAGCGAGAGATTCCCCGCTTGCAACGGGCTTAGCCGCTTGGTGAGCCTTTCGGTGGGAAGGTTTGGCTGAGCTTCTTGGTTTGTGCTGCGCGCAGCACAGTGGTGCTGAGCAAACTCTATGCTCTGAAGTAGCCTCTTCGCTATTGCTGATTGGAGAACCCACCCGTACGTCGCCACATCCCAGACTGCAAGTCCTGCTGGAGGTTCATGCTGCAATCACACCTGGCACAGGCTTCGGTGGGTCAAATAACTGACCTGCTGGGAAAACTCCTCGGGCGGCCCTGCATCTAGATACTCAACACCAACCACAGTTAACGTTGGAATTTAGTTCCAATTTGAGTTAGGAGGATGAGGAAGATACTAAAACTAGTTTGAATGAATAATGATCAGATTCAAGAGAGTAAAGAAAGTGATGAAAATATTGTTGTGGACAGTGCCTTAGCCTCCAGTGAAGACCCTAAAGATTGGGAAAATCATTCAGATATTGAAGTAGTTACAGTACTCTTACTTATTAGATCCATGATCGAGTCAATATGCTAGCTCAAATTGAATGTCATTTACAAACAAAACACGCCGGCATCCCTGCCACTGCAACTGGGCTCATTGGAACCCACTTTACTTCTGCGATCAGTCATTCTCATCAGCAGGGTTTTGGATGCCATGGCAATCAAAAACCTGGAGTGGTGCCTTGTGGTCCTTGGCTTTGTTTTGATACATGCGTTTGAACCCCAAAACAGAATAAGTGAAACAAAATGAAACAAGGACATTCTCTCTTCGGGGGGGTCGGGAGAGTGATGTGCCCGGTCTGCTTCCTTAGTGGAGTGGCTTTGCTGTATTCTGGCTTTGCTCCAGCCAATGTCAAGTGACTGGAGTGTGAGTGAAAAGTCTATGCAGCTACTCTGCCAAAACTAGGAGGATCCAAAATCCAACTAACCCTTCGGGCCCTCAGGGGCCTGCAATACTTCAAAAGCAGTGGTACCTCGGCTCTGAGGGCATCAGAAAGCATATCTGTTCATGCCAACAAGTGTCATGGCACGAGTGATTCTGCGGTTGATGGGGCTTGTTCCCAACCTGATCAGATCTAGATTACCCCACCCACAAGCTGATGAGATGGTAGGTGAGAGCCTTCGCATGTCCAAAATGTGGTCGGCAAGCTTATCGGGAGCAAAACACCAAAGCATACCAACGCATCTGTGTGTGTGTGTCATACTCTGTCCCAAAGAGTTTTTTTAAGAGCAGGGGACCAGGCAGGATGCATCGTCGCCTGGTCAACGAAGCTGGCGATGCATCCGAGGATATGGAAATGGGACGCCATTTCCACGTACCTGCTGCTAAAAACTGTTGTTTACGCTGTGACTCCACTTCTCCTTTTTTGTTTCCATGGTGGTTCGTCGCATGATATCCCCCAAAACAGGTTTCCTTAGCTTTGGTAAAGTGCTAGTGAGTTTGTTAAGCAGTTCTGTTCTTCGGGCCCTTTCGCCTTACCGTTTGCAGAAAAGTGCTAATGCAGTAACTAGCTTCCGCAGTCACGCAAAACCTTTGTTAAACATCTTCAAGTTTTTCGGACTCACTCGCCTTTCCGTTCCCTCATTCCTTTCCTCCAGGAATTGATGTAACTGAAAACCCATTGTCAAAGTGTGTGCCGCTGTGCCGTCCCACTTGGGTGCACAGTGTGATCCTCGTCACTGGGGCGCTGACTTCACGCTGTACTACCACTTAACTGACTTTGCCACTTTCTACGCGTTGGACTATCTTAACGGACTTTCGTTTCACTACTGCATTCTCAAAATCAAAGCCGCCAGGCTTCACAGTTTTGCGACTGATCTTTCACTGCGTTGCAAGCTTTCACTTTCAAGATTGAGATGATCTTGTTCTCCACGTGTTTCAACTTTTCCACTTTATGGATTGGCACAACAGAACATGTTCAGGATTGCGATTTCCAAATCCTTTTCCACTTGCGGTCGAACTTTTCCATGCACTCTCACTTCCACACCCCCCCACCTTGCACGCGAATTCATACTTCTACCCCACCCGCTATCTAGGGTAACAGAAGGAAATGGTACTCAACACACTTGTGTGTCGGTACCTTTCCTTCTGTTTCTCCTGTCCTACTCCTATCTACCCGGGCGGTTTAAGACTAATGTCCCGCTCGCTAACTAGTGCACCCAATTAAGAACTGCAGCTAATTCTTGTTGAAACCTTCTGTTGGTCGGACCCAGCACTTCTTTCCGTTGCCTCAAGTCCAGGGCTAAGTATTCAGTAACTAGAAGGTTTTGTAACTAGTGGGCCTCGTAACTACACCTATCTTTCCCTCTTGTCCTTTGCGTTTCTCTTTCTGTCTTTTCCTTTCCTTTCTTTCTAAGGCTTTTTAGGTTGCTCGTAATCTCTTTCGAGCGCCGATATCGGCACGCTGTGTGTGTCATACTCTGTCCCAAAGAGTTTATTAAGGGCAGGGGACCAGGCAGGATGCATCGTCGCCTGGTCAACGAAGCTGGCGATGCATCCGAGGATATGGAAATGGGACGCCATTTCCACGTACCTGCTAAAAACTGTTGTTTACGCTGTGACTCCATTTCTCCTTTTTTGTTTCCATGATGGTTCGTCGCATGATATCCCCCAAAACAGGTTTCCTTAGCTTTGGTAAAGTGCTAGTGAGTTTGTTAAACAGTTCTGTTCTTCGGGCCCTTTCGCCTTTCCGTTTGCAGAAAAGTGCTAATGCAGTAACTAGCTTCCGCAGTCACGCAAAACCTTTGTTAAACATCTTCAAGTTTTTCGGACTCACTCGCCTTTCCGTTCCCTCATTCCTTTCCTCCGGGAATTGATGTAACTGAAAACCCATTGTCAAAGTGTGTGTGTGTGTGTGTGTGTGCGCTTCTCAACAAGCTATGGACTTGGAACACGACATATATATTTATATAATACAAATGAACCCAGTCTTCACAGGGCCCTGGCTTGTGAGGCTTCGAGAATTAACCTGCCAGAAGTATGAACTGGGAGGAAACCTCCATCCGAGCTCGGCTAGCAGCCAAATCAGTCATACAAGCACATGCACAATGGCAGGAGCCAACCACCCTGGTGTGTGTCTTTCCATGTGTTTTGCCCTCTAAAGAGCCTTCTGTGCCTCTCGCACAAGCGCTACTACCCTCTCCCGCGGCACCGGACCAGCGGGACCCGCACGGACGCTCGGCACCGAGCCGGGGTGGCTTGGTGTGCTGAGAGCAGAGCAGTGACCAAAAGCAGAAGGATCGAAGTCAAGATCCCCACCTGGTCTGTTAGACTCGGCTTCGAAAAGGAAGTCGGGTCGGCTTTCTTAGATGGCTAGGACTAGGATGAAAAGAAACGTAAGGCTCAAAGGTTCTGACTGCGTGTGGTTGTTCTTTAAGAAAGAAAACCGGAAGACACTGACTGCAGAGTCAATTCCCTCAAACAAAAAGAGCAGGAGCGCGGGTCTCTTCACAACATTGAGTCAACCCAGGTTTTGGACGCCAGAAAAGAAGCTCGGTGCTATTTCGAGAAGATGCGACCACTCCGCATAAGCTGTTGTTGGACAGGACATATTGAGTTCGGATGAAGAATTCGAAGCAATGCTCCTATAGATTTGTTGGGTGTTCCCAATGCTCATCCCGATCCACTCTAGAGTTATCATGTTCGCCACCTTCGTTTTGAGCGTTGACCCTTAAAAAATCCGCTTGCTTCCTCGCAATCAAACCACGTACGAAGCAATGACACATGGGTCTCTTGCCTCAACGAATCTAAAGCCTTCAACCTACCTAGTTGCGTTTCTCTGCAAGAGTGCAGTCGTGTGTAGGAGCTTGGTGTGAGTTTGAAAGCAGGCAGAGTCCATGCGGCTAAGTCAAAAACGCATCTTTGAGATTAACCTTCCGTTTGGCACTCCAAAACCCGGCTTGTCTTCCAGCAATCATGACCAATGAACTTGGCCAAGTCCCACAAAACCCACCCCTCAAATTCCACGATCGGTGCATCTCGCGATATGCCCAAGCCACTCCGGTCAACAACGGGGAGATGTCGGGCTCCACAAAGAGCTCCAGCTCGTCGACGGTTTCTGCGGCTTCATTGACCTGGGAGCATTTGACGATGGGAAATTTACCCACGGAAGAAGCTTGAAGTGAATAGTATTGTGCAGTGTTCTTGGGCGATGTGTTTTTATTCGGCGTTTGGGAATCTTTTTTTGCGGTCCTGGTTTCTCTATCTATCGGGGACCCAACGTTGGTTCAAGCGTTCGACCTATTCGGATCTCTAGTGCAGTTTTCTTGGAGTCCAAAACCTGACCATGTTCACTTCCTGAAAGCTGTCGCAATTCCGTTGCGGGGGGGGGGAAACGAACGAAAGCGTTCTTGCGGTCTGCCTGACAGTGACATTCACTCCAAACTGGTGTCCATCAGTTTCCGCAGGGTTGAGGCGTCGGCGGTGAAGAGGCAGGGCCACCCTCCCATGCTGCACCTGCCAAGTGCATTGGCACTCGAGGGCGGCTGGGCGGAGGCAGTTGGGCACTCTGTGAGATGTGGCAGCTCCTGGTCCAAGCACCTAACGCCTAAGAGCGATGGCCTCCAACCTAATAGCCCCAGAGTGCGACCCCTGGTGTTGACTTGCTTCTCCAAGTCACCAACTCGAGAGGAGTGTAAAGATATTGAGTAAGCTTTGGGCCATGAGAAAACCTCAGAGCTGTTTTGAAGCCTACTGTAGTTTTCGCCCTTGTGCACTCGGAAGAGCGAGTGAAAAGTCACAAGAGCCTTTGGTGCCCAAAAGACCACTTTGGAAACAACAGAACATACCCCACACTGTCGTCCAGTCTTATCCGGTGAAACTCCTTGACTTCCTTGAGTATAGTATGTTTGTGTGACCAACTCCAGCAAAATGAAGTCTAACTGACCTGTAGGGTACCATGTTGCCAATGTAGCCCAACACCAGTCCTTCAAAGCTCAGCCGGACCGACAGCAGATGCTCAGCGCATGCTCCCAAAAGACGAGGGACGACCTACGTCCTGCACGTCTGTATGGGGAAATGGAGTAAGAATATAAGAACCGAACCCCCCCAGAAACCCCAAAAAAAGGCGCATCACTGACCACTCCCAGAAATGAACTTGGCCTCCCCACGGCTGTCCTTTCCAGTCCACCTTCCCCAGGCTTCCCCAGGAGTCGCAGAACGTCCTGACCCCCGGGCATACGGCCCAATGCGCCGGACTGACCCATCAGAACTAGATTTGGCCACAGGTGGGGCCACACTAGACATCACACAGAAGACTCCGACCTTTGCGCTTAAATTCTCAAAACCTTTAGAACCAACATAGACATATTATACATATATGCATATAGTCACAGGCTGATTCGTCCGTCGAAGAAAGACATGCAGCACACATCTTTGCTTGGCGCCCTACTCTGCAGTCCGCCTCAGAACAAAAGCATGCTGTGAAGAGACACCCAAAGCGCACTGATCAACAAAAAACGCTTCATTGAGGGGTCAGAACTCAATCAAGAATCTAGATCAACTGATCAACTATATACTTTTTTCATTTGATGGCATATGCTGGAGAAGGAAAGACTCACTCTCACCTCAGGTTCTATGAGGAGTCAAACAATAGCATTTTTTGGTCCGGTATCCAGTATCCACCCTTGTCACAAGGCAAAGAAAACTATCTAAAGAAAATAGACAACGGAACATCTGTTCCAAGCCACTGAACCGCCCTGAGAGAAAATATGGCCGGTAAGACTGAAATTCGGTCCCGTCTGTCCATTCTTGAAGAATCGCTTCTGGCATGGTTTTTTGCAGACAGAACAACGGTTCCTAAACGGGACTCCTTTCAAACCGTTTCCGGGGAAATGGAGGCAAACACCATGTGTGCGACCCAGCCCTTCTAGTCGGACCATGCCGCCCAGGAGCGTAGCAATGCCGCCCGACACCAAGCCGCAGCACGTGGGGACGGAGCCCTCTCACAGGGTTGCTCTGGCGGAGTGTGCGATTGTTCGAAGGAGTCGAAAGCAGGGAAAAGTACCCCCTGCTCCTGAAAATCACACTGTGAAAACAATCAACACTCAGAAGACTGTGGACCTTTGTGCGGGAGGCATGTGACTGGCAGGCTTCTTGATAAAAACATAGAGAAACAAAAGAACTGAAATCAGATTGAGAAGCTCGAGTTTCAGGATGTCACCATCCAAAGCCTCTGCTTGGCCCTGGTGTTGAGACTGTATGCCGCATGCCAGTGAACCAACCATCAATCAGTCCGGCTTTTGTTGGAGTTGCCCACCAAATCCTTGTGAAGGGGTCAGAAAGACAATCAAGCTGATCACCCCGTGAACCATTGTTAAAAATTGCATAATTGCTTCCTACCAAATATGCAATGAATTGTGGGCCCACCCTCTAAATGTCTCTATTGGCTCAAAAGTGGAGATCATCTGCGCGGGTATGGCGCCTCTTCATCGTTGCAGCACCGAAATGGCTCGCCTGGCAGGCACTGGGTGGACTCACAGCACATCAGTTTCCAGGCACAGCGCAGCTGCCTGGTCATCCGTTGAAACACAGCCCGCGAGTTCTTGTCACATCTTCAAAGCTTATGCAGCCACTGAAATGGTCAGAGGAACCCAGCGGTTGAGTCGTCCCGCGCAGAACAGCGGTGTCTCAAGTGCTCTGTCTGCGGAAGGTTCGCCGTTGGCCAGCTGGGTTGACCACACCAGATGCGGATCCACCACCGCCGAACCGCCAAGTCTTGGTTCATTGGATGTGCCAAATCAACCGTTTTGACCCGACAAGACGATCCCGGAATAGAAGAGCCATGAAGAGCCCAGTTGTCCAGACATAGCCTTTGCAACTGATGCACAGAACCACGAGCTTCACTGTATGGTTCAATGTTCGGATACCAAAAGCAGCCAAATGCGATCCGAAGTTCGGTCTTGGTGCTTGATCCCACCAAAACAATCTGACATGTTGGTGTCTGGTGTCCAAGCTGTCTGGCTTCGAGGATACTTCAATCCCCGGCCCTCCCGTCTTTCTACGCCGACCGAGCGCGGTCACCGGTCACCGGTCACCTTCGTAGCGAGTGAGGTCGCCGCTGGGCCCAAAATGCACCTGATCATCCAAACCGTTTTTTGAGGGGCAAACTTCGGGGAGCTGGACCGTTCGATGGCATGACTCCTCCGGGAACAAGCCTCTGTGCTGGATGTTTCCGAAAACAAGCCTCTGTCCTCTGTGGATGGTGGTGGAGAATGGACTCGTAAAGCTGCAAATTTGCTGGCCCAGCTGGTTGAATGCACACGAAGATTGAGAAGTTTGTCTCAGACCAGGGGGAAGTGGCCCATTGGTTTTTTTCCCCCATGTTTCCATGTATATCGTTGGTAGCTTGGAAGTGCTCCCTATCTGCTCAGAACATCTTGTGTTAGGAGAAGTCCCTTTGGAAAAATAGAGTTCCAACCTCGACCAGGACCCTGAGCACTGAGTCTCGAGCCACAGGCAAGGACCAAGCAGTTTTCACCAGGAACCTCTGCCGAACAGCGCTTGGAACGGACTCGATTCCAACAAACACGAGAGACAGACACTGCTCCAGAGTCTCCCAGACTCTCATCGCTTTGGGGGCAAAACCTCTTTTGTCTTCGCAGACTTACGGAAGACGGGAAGCCTACCCCGTTTCTATCTCAGAGCCCAGAGAAAACGGCCTCCAATGGATGAAAAGAAATGGGTTCAAATTGGTGAAAGAGCTCCAACGTTTGGGGACTTGGACTTGAATGACTTGGAGGATGTAGAAGATACTACACAGATACCATCAGATACCCAAATCAATGGCGTCCTACGCACCTGAAGCGCCTCCCATGCGGAAGCGGGCGGAACCGGGCCTGTTCTTGCTTCGGACCGCCACCTGCGACCGGTGCTTGTGGTTTTTCTCATCGCATAATTCAAGCCTTCCAAGTCAAAAGCTTGTCCTCTACTGGAACCTCAAACCAGGATGAAACCTCCCATGATCAGGGGCGTTTGCTTCTGTTCTGGTGTGCAGGAGGCCGGACCTCCACGTAGCATCCGAAGTCCTGGAGCAGGAATTGGAAGCGGCCACGAGGCCACTTCGGTCCGAGTGCAACCCCAAGGACAAGGGCATCAGAAGTCCACCAAACACGTCGAGATTTGCACAGAAATGTCCTACTCTCGTGGTGGTCAACTATAGTGATTCTGTTTGCTGGGGGCACTGTGGGTAGAGTCATTCACAAGGGTAAGAGATTCTAAATCAGCTTGCTGCCTGACGAAACGACATGCAATGGATGTTCCTGCTTCAGGGGCTGAGCAAGGGTAGCTCCTAATCCAACCCCAAGCACATGAGAAAACTCACAAGACTTCTCGAAAGCAAAACAAACAAACATCTACAGTACCCTGGCATGTCCTAGTCATCCACTAGTCCATGTTGCGACCTCAGAGCCTCCGACCTAAGCAGGTCGCAGGTCGACCACCTAGCCCCTCGCGCCGAGCCCCCGCGACCGGCGCCGCGGCCGGCTCGGTCGACCCTTTTTCACCCGGCGCGATGGCCGCAAGCAGCTCTTCGAAGCTGGTGCCCCAGGCCTCTGAAAGGAGGCAGCGCGGGCGACGACTTTGAAAAAACTGTTGGAACTCCTGAAGCGCTTTGCATGGTGTATAACTGAATAGTGTTTGTTTTGAAGAGCGCATGTGTGGTGGAAACCGACGGTGGTGAAGGTTCCTTTTTGGAGGTGAAACTGTGATGCTGTTCTGGGGCCATGTGCAGCCGATGTCGCAGGCACTTGCTAGGGTTTACGGGATTCGGCCAATTTCCCGTATCAGTGGTCCTTTTCTGTGGTGGCCCACTGATTATGGATGGAACTTGGAGGATCTTCCGACCAGGACCATGCACCGATAGATCAGAAAAAAAAAAAAAAAAAAACGAAAAACCTGGCAGATCCTGCATTGTGTCTGGGTTTTGGGGTGGAGAAGCTTTGACTTCGAATGACTTCACCTGAGAAGATCAGCCATCCACCACAGATGTCCCCCGCGAACGGAGAAGCGCTTCAGGCCTCCGGGTTCGACTCTTTCATGGCTTTCATCTCTTCCTCACAGACACAAAGATAGCTAGACCGTCACGCACCTAGCATCTTCACCAGGTCAGTCGCCTTGGAAGCGAACACCTTGAAGCCTTTCACCTTGAAGAACCAGAAATCCACCCACAAGTACCGAAATGATCTCCCAACCTCCCAACCCCTCACGCCGTTTGTCCTTGATTCTGCGGCGTTCCTCCTCACTCAAGGCATCCCACAAGAACCGCGTCTTCTCGAAGGACTCGCCAACGGCGGCGCGGGGAGCGTATTCACGCATGGGAGAACACCCCAAGGGGTGGAAGGGAAGGCCCGGGGGAGAGGTGATGTCCCTTTTTTCCTGACTACTGACTACTCCAAGGATATCCGGCAGTGTCATGAAATCATCTGGATCTGAGGACTGAAGCGAGCTTGGACGAGAACGCAAAAGGTTTGACGCGACGCAACGCGACCAGGATCCTCAGGTCACATGCTTTGGTGGAGAAATTGTTCATCAACTTCCCATCTGCTTTTGAAAGGCTAACAGCCAGAACGCTACGATCGGGGCTCCTGGCATCGCTACGAACGGAGCATTCTTACTACGAACGTAACAGGAAGCTCCAAAAAGCAACTCCCACGTGAAGTCACGTGCCATGCAACTCCCACGTCAGTGCCCAAGGCCGGCCTGCCAGCTATTGGAGTCTGCTTGCTGCCACTGAGCCCTTCGAGCACGTGCCAACTTCTTCTTCACCTGACCGGGCCGGAATAGATGTGTTCAAACGGAATGAAGCGATCGCATCTTTAAGAGAGGTGCAAATTCGGAGATGATCAAAGAAAATCAGAAAGGATCCGAACAAGCTGAGAGTCAGTTGTTAACCCTCTCGCGTTCTTCCAAAAGGCTTCAAGAACATTTCTATGGAAGCTCCTTCATGACCTTCAATCCGTTTTGGCCGCCTGCCGGGCGCTTTTCACCACGGGACCTCGCTCGATGAGGGTCTTCGTCACAGTACCATCCTTGGAAGATCTTGGAAAAGCGAGCAACCACGGCCAAAGACCAACTTACCCGCCTTCAAGCGAGGAAGTGTTTGTCATCCTAATTTGATAAGACGGAATCTGGGTATGTGTGTGTGTGTGTGCCCCCCTGTGCAGAATGCAGTCGTGACGGCAAAAGGCAAGAACCTCCTGGAGATGATACTTCAGGGGTCTTCAAACCCAAGCACGTTCGCATGTAAAACACACAAAACAATAGACCTGCCAAAAGTAGGCCGGGATATAAACCTGCAGTTTACTGAGCTTTGAGAAAGCCGCTTCTCATGCATGAATAAAGGTCGTAGGGGGGCGGGAAAACAGAGTCATGACCTCCACTGGCCCCCCTTTGACCTCTTCATCAAACCGAACAACACCTTGAGTCCTAAAGAAACTTTGGCGTGTCTTCCCCAAGTCAGAAGCCAAAAATGACCAAAAGGTCCTCCTCTGGTAAAAGAACAAGACGCCTTGGAAAGCTTCCAAATATGAAAGCAAGTTTAGATCAAGCACCTCTCAAGGGCTTGATTACACTGCGCGCGGGTCCTGCACGAATACATAAACAGAAATGCCACTACATGTGTCATCCCCAAGTGTCCAGTGCCACATGGTCTGCCAAGTCTTGAACGAGCTGCTGGCATTTCACCTCGAGAGCTGCAAGAGAAAAGAGCCACAGTTGCTGCGTCTCAGCCACCCTATTGATGGACCAATCGAGAAAAAACACCTGATATATAGACTAGCATGGACAGTCTGTTGAGGGTGTAACCGTGTGCCCTATTGTTCCCACTTCGTCATCTCAAACAGTGTTCAGTGTTTCTTAAGACTGTTGCTCTTCTCTCTTGCCCTGTCTTCCTGAGTGAAGACTGCTACTTGCCGCCAAAGTCACCACCACCAGCACCGGTGGCGGTTCAACTAGGCCCTCCACCAAAGAGAGGAGCCGGAGCACATCCTGCACGCCGTGACACGGCGGCGATGTCCCATCAAGTTCCACGGAACACGGCGCCCACATGGTGCCCCCACTCTGGGCTCGCTCATGAATCGATTGAACCTCCGTCTGGGCCATCAACCACAACAACCTGCGTACAATGGATGATACAACGCGTGATACGGCGTGATACAGCTGCTGAGGAGGGATTGTCATGTCCCAAAGATGTTGTCCTTCACTTCTTTTGAGATGCAGATTCTTTATGAGTGTAGCAGATCTCGCCGATGAGAACAGATGCCTATGGAACACATCTTTTGAGACACACCCCATTTGGGCCCCATCTGGCCCATCCGATGAGAACATTCCTCTTACGGAGCAGGCTCACTGAAACTCACAGGGTCTGGCACGACTGGCACGACAGGGTCTGGCAAGACTGGCTGTTCCATGTGTTGCTCGTAGCACAGCTTCGGTCAATCCGACTGTCCCTTCAGAGTTCTTGGGTGCCAACATCCAAACTGGCAGGAATCTCCTGTAACAGGCACACTTCCCCAAAGGAACTCACCTTCGCTTGGACAAGAAAAACACCGCTACTTGCCACCTCATGCCTCAGGCCTCGCTGCTGCG